TTTGAGTTGGAGTCTCACTCTGTCACCCAGACTGGAGTGCTGGAGTGGCCACTGCAGCATCGACCTGCTGGGCTCCGGCGATCCTTCCGCCTCAGCCTTCCAAGTAGCTGGAACTACAGGTGCGCGCTACCACACCCGGCTAATTTTTTGATTTATTGTAGAGATGAGGTCTCACCAAGTTGCCCAGGCGAGTCTCGAACCTGCAGGCTCAGGCAATCCACTCATCTCGGCCTCCCAAAGTGCTGGGATTACAGGCTGAGCCACCGAGCCCGGCCGGTCCAGTTTCTTAATCCTTACATATCAATAAGGGCAGAATTGTTGGTGATCCCCACCTCCATGATGATTAGATTTCATAGTCAGTTTACTGATTCATAAGGGTATGTTGAGGGATTTTCTCTGAAATTCTCTGCTTACTAATTAATGATTGGTTTACATCGTTTCAGAGTCCTTAAACGGCCCCAGAAGTTGTTTCAGGTAGTGACTTCTCAGGAGGACCACTATTAGTGGCAGCCTGAATATCTCACTAAAAATGCTTTTGCAAATCCCTTTCCCCAGGGGAGAATAGATTGTAACACATATTGGATTATTGTAAAGTGAATGAGTGGTTATGGTACTGATGGTGTTTCTACAGGACTAAAAACTCTTGGGCTTTTAGTAATTTGGAAATATCCCCAGATGGGGTAAGTATCCACTAGTTCCTTGCACATTCTGTGTATGGAGACTCCTGTTTTGTTCTTTTGTTTGCTCATAAGATAATAGCATGGTCTCATCCTAAAGAAGGATCTGCTTAAATGTAAGGACCTCTGCATTTTGTTTCATATAGTTACCTGTATAAAAAAATGTCTTTTTATCATTTACATATGTACACTTTTGTTCTAGGTGTCAGTTGTATCCAAGGCGTTCTCAGCAACAGCAAGTACCTGTGCTGGATTTCCAAGCGGAACTGAGACAGGCATTCTTAGCTGAGACACCAAGAGGTGGTTAAAGGAGTATTGGAACAACAAGGAAGCTGACTCTGAGCAAAAATCAGGTTAGAGTTGATGCAGTAATGATTAGGAATAAAGAGATTAAAAAGCGTAGTATTTATGGTCCACTTAATATCAGTGACACGTTACTTTTTTTTTTTTTTTTAAGTTTCATACTGTAAAAACGTAAAAGCATGACCTAAATTTTCCTGCCTTGACACTTTTGTGTCATTTACAGGGTGTAAACATTTGTCAAGTTTATGTTTTCCAATTTTTTTAGTGCATGCTTTTTGAGTACTTTTTATTTATGTTTTCTTTTACATTGACTTTTCACCCTTACATTATACAAAAGAAAATTCAACATGAATGGCTATTGAATATCCTGCTAGTGAATTTTCTATAATTCCCTTTTGTGGGAGGCTTCATTTCTTTCTGTCTGTATTTTGAACAAAGCTTCAGTAAATAGTTTTGCATAAAACTTTAGGTAGAATCATTTTCTTGGATGTGCAGATGTGAAAATAAAATGAACCAAGGAATATGCATATAGAGTGCATTTTCTAAGTGGTATTTTGAAATATCAATTTTTATTTTAAAAAATGTGCCAGCTACAGTACATTTTCACCAGCATTGGTAATTTAATTTATGCCTAATGAATATGTATACATCACATTAACTAACAATGAGTATTAGAGAATCTAAATATTTCCCTATGTTTATTTACTAATTCCTTTTTTATTTGTCTTTTTCTCACTTTTCTATTTTCACCAATGTATTTTCTGTTTCAGTCAGACAATGTAATAAAGATATTATCTCCAATTTTTCAATGTGATGTAGATTTATTTAGTCTGTCTTATGTTGGTGACTTTCATTTTTTAGGAAAAAGCTTGCCAAAACTGATTTTGATTAAGTACTTTGTTTTTTCTTCGTGATTTTTCTGTTTTTCTATTTTTAGATCAGAATGTTCTCATTCCTGAGGGTTTACTATATACTTTTTAGAAAATATGATTACGAAGGAAAGGGGTATTAGGGGTTATTTCTCCTTGATTTTTTTTTAATTGAAGAAGTAGGTTTATGGATGAGTTCACTTTAGATTTTCTTTATTTCTGTTTTTGCACTATTACCCCTAAGCCTGAATCAGTTAGACCTATTTATGGCCACCATTTTGAGTTTAAATCTAAACGAGACAAAAATTTTCCAAAAAATCCTTAGTTAATTGCATGGAGTTGACTGCAAGCAGATAATGAACTCTGATCATTGTTCCAAGCTGTTCCCCAGAGTAAGGGCATTTTTCAATGCATGGATGTTCACGATTGATTTTTTTTTTTTTTTTTTTTTTTTTAAACCCAGGAATTTTTTTGGTTTCTCAGTTCAGTTCACATATTCTTGTAAATTTCTAACTATAATATGTAAGTCATACATTATAATCTGCAAGTGGGACCATTTAGTTTTCTCATATTTAATGATAAACTATTTTATCTTAGTCTCAACTGCTGTTTCTACCTACATAGTACCAGTTACTACGATTTTTTTTGAGCAAGAGTTGGTGAAGTGTATGACTCACTACCCATTTCTGTAAATAAAATTTGAAAAACAAGCCAATTTGCATGCGGGTACATTGGTGCTGCAGTTGCAGCATTGAGTAGTTGTATACTGAATGGCAGGCACAACCTAAAATATCTATCATGTTGCCATTTAAAGAAAAAGTTAGTCTGATTGTGGTTGCTCAGGCCTGTAATGCCAACATTTTGAGAGACGAGAGGAGAGGACTGGTTGAACCCAGGAGTTTGAGACCAGTCTGGGCAACGTAGTGAGACTTCATATCTAATATAAAATTAAAAAGAAATAAAGGAAAAAGTTGACTGACTTTTGCTTTAGAACACCAGATTCAAAGAAGAAAACACTAAGTTTGGGGCCAGTGAGGGTAGAAGTAATGTTATAGAAAGTGATGAAGGGAGTGTACATGAAGTATACTTACAGGGTAGAAAACTAGATGAATTTGTAGGGTAAGGGACAGGTCTAAGAATCATATTAAAGTTGGCTGTATAGGTAGATGGGGAGTTTTCAAACACATTTAAAAAATTGATACCCTTTTTATTCTAAAAATGTAAGGCACATGTTAGCCAGGAAAAAAAAATGCGAAAGCAAATTGTTCTATTAATATTGACTTTATATTTTTTGTTACCTAAAAAGTTACTAGGATATATATTCAATTGGATTTTTACTCAGATGGGATACAGGGTGTAAAGATTAGTATGACTTCTAGAAGTATTGATTGCCACTAAAAATTAATACATTATTTTTCTCAGTACTACCCTTTGTGTGTGTGTGTGTGTGTGTGTGTGTGTTTTGGTTGTTAAATAAAAACTTCTAATAAAAGAAAATTGTTTTGTGTTTTTAATTGGCATTGTGTTATGTGCTAATAATTTTACATTTAGTTGTGTTGTCTTCTGTTAATTAATTGTTACTTTTTTGGCACTTTTTTTATGGAGTGCTCCATAAACCCTTCATACTTTTAAATTTTAGCAGATTTGAATGAACACTCATGCAATACTGTTATTCTTGGTCATGTTATTTTAAACTACTCATTTAAAAGTAGTTTTATATGTTTATACAGTTTAATCATTCTGAAACCTACACTTTTCTAAAACTTGAGAACTGCTTTTTTGTGGAATCTCATGTCATTTATTTGGTTATGTGTCCTTGGATCTGAGAAGATAGGCCATGAATGTTCATTCATCAGTCCTGTGTGATGTTGCTTTCTTCTTGTCCTCTTCTCATGAAACATTGTGTTCTTCTGTGCTGTAGATATAACATTTGATCATTCTATAAGGTGATTTGGGCTGGGCATGATGGCTCATGCCTATAATCCCAGCACTTTGGGAGACAGAGGTGAGAGGATTGCTTGAGCCTGCCAAGATTCAAGACCAACCTGGGTAACTTAGCGAGACCTCATCTCCACAATAAATCAAAAAAATTAGCCAGGTGTGGTGGTGCATGTCAGTAGTTCTAGCTACTTGGAAGACTCAGGTGGAAGGATCACCTGAGTCTAGCAGGTAGAGGCTGTGGTGGCTGTGAGCATGCCACTGCATTCCAACCTGGGCGACAGAGTGAGACTAAAAAAAAAAAAAGATAGTGATTTGTTTTCTGCTTTCCTTAAAATGACTCTTGATTATAGTATGTCACAATTAGGGATAGAGAGAACTTTCTAAGTTCTTTCTTTTTTTTTTAACTTTTTTTTTTTTTTTTTTTT